TCGGAAATGTAAATGGCGTAACTTGCACTGTCAGAACCAATGAAATTGGAATGTTTTTTTTAAACTTTTTATAATATTATATGCAGATGATACCATATTACTAAGTGAAAGTAGTGATGACCTACAAAACTCACTAAAATCTTTTTGAACAATATTGTGATAAATGGAAATTAAACAGTAAACACCAGTAAAACAAAGGTAGTTGTATTTGGATCAAGGAGTAACATTTATCAAAACAAGTTTAAATTCAAAGAAGCAAATCTTGAAACCACTGATCAATATAAATATTTAGGTGTCTATCTATCAAGAACAAAAAGTTACATTAAAGCCAAAAAGCATGTAGTAGAACAAGCTAATAAAGCAATGTTTTCTCTCTTAAGAAAAATAAGAGCTCTAAACTTGTCATTTGATTTACAGATAGATATATTTAATAAAACTATTAAACCAATACTACTTTATGGCTGTGGAGGTTTGGGGTTTTGGAAACAATGAAATAATTTGAAAGAACACAACTTAAATTTATGAAACTTATTCTCAATCTTAAAAAAATCTACCCCATCTCATATGATTTTATGGCGAATTAGGAATTAAACCGATACAAACAGATATTGATACAAGAATTATCTCTTTCTGGGAGTAAAGTTACTGACCCAACTAGCAATAAATTGGTCAAATAATTTATATCTCATAATCAATGGTATGCAGAATCAAGGGGACTTTAAATTCAAAATGGCTTGATCATACAAAAAGTCTTAAATTTTTAAACATGGATTTGGGAAATATTTTGGGAAAATCAATCTGACATAAATAGAAAATGGTTTCCATTAGCATTTAAACAAAGAATAACATGACCAGTACATACAAACATGGAATGATAATGTGTCAAGGTCTACAGGCAGTATCAATTATAAACTTATGAAAAGAATTTCGAAATTAATAAATATTTTCAACTTATACCAAAATTATTTTTGTAAAATATTAACATCTTTTAGAACAAGGAATCATAGACTACCTATTGAAACAGGAAGGTGGAGTGGTGTTCCTTTAAATGACAGGAAATGTAAATTTTTGTGCAATGACAATGATATTGGTGACGAATACCACTATGTTCTTAAATGTAAGGCCCTTTTCTGAACAAAGAAAAAATTCATCAAGTCATATTTTATAAAAATCCAACACAGTAAAATTTTATGAGCTTTTTAATAGTGAAAATAAAAATGAACTTTATCAAACTTTGTAAGTTTTATTGAAAAAGTTAACAATGCTATTAAGAATAACTCAATTTAGGGAATAGAAAATAGTTGGTTATCTTTATCAAATATATTACAACAGACAATTTCAAGACTTAATTTTCAATTTTCAATTCTTTTAATGTTAAAAACAAATATCAAATTCCGAATTTAGTTATTTTAAAAATCTAAATTCTCTATAATGAATTATTTGTAGTTTATTTGCAAGGAGAATACTATTGTTATATGCTCTGTTGTTCTATGTACATGGTATGTTTCATTGTTTATTGTTGAAAACTTTTTTGGAATTTTATTGCTAACTGGAAATAGGAAAAAGGGAGAAAAACATATCTGCATTATTATTCCAATTGTTACATGCATTGATATTGAAAATATTTTACAAAGATTTGTTAATGTCTGATATTATTTATTCATATAAATTTTTGGATTAATCTCATTATTTTTGAATATATATATTATCTAACTTGCTTTATAATAATAGTCTGTTCAAATTCCCCAATAGCATCTTATTATTCTAGTAACTGTCAACAAACCAAAAGGTCATATGGCCATGTTTACTTATTGAATAACTTAAGTAATGTTGTGTAATACCTCATCTGATTTTGCATGTGTTAGTGTGAGTGTGTGGGTGTGTTTGTGTATGTGAGCCCATTTGACTATATTTGTTTGTATTGATTGTTAATTTGTTTATTATAATGTGTTTATTTGTAATATTGATTTGATTTGTTTTTTTTACTTGTTTCTTTATAAAAGGGTTTTGAAATAGATTTGTATAGTAGGTGGCTCAAATATGCAGGCATTAGTCTTATAATACTTTGTGTAATAAATCATGGCAAATTTGTTTGTATGTACATAGGGTTGTCTGTTACAACGTCTGTCTGTATATTATTTTCTTTGTAGTATTTTTTCTTTGACTCTTTAAGACCCCATGTTTATCCCAATCATGATACTGAGAGTATATATAAATACCTAGTCATTGCTAAAGATAACTGTGCATATTCATATGATAATTTTCAAAACTCTGAAGTTGTTTCCCCTAGTGATGATGACGAAATAAATACATGTATATTATAACATCAGCTTAAGAAATGAAATAAAAAAAAAAAAAAATATCATAAAATCGAGATTTGACCATATGTCTATACAATGTAATTAAAAATCAATCATGCATAATATATTAAAAGTCTTCCATGTAGCTCTTATTTTTATTTTTTTTTTTTTTTCGTTTCGCAAACAGAGCTACGTGGACACGTTTTTTAAGATATTATATTACTGTATGTTTAATACCTTACAAAATTATATAAGTAAGCACTCTTAAAGGCTTTCGCTTTTTACTCTCTTTAAGAGTAACTGTCAAACAAACAATTGCTATGTCAGTAATATGCACGAATAAAACAACTTCAATAGTTCACTATTTGTTATATTGTATGATTATTTATGTTTGTAAGCAATATATACTATTCTATAACTAAAACACTGTCAATAACATTGAATAATTGATCGATGAAATGAGTCGGTATCTCATGTAATAACTTAACTTCTTCGTTTAAAAATACATGCATATGTTATATTCCCAAGAACTTTGGCTAACCCTAAAATGACGCAGGGAATATGAAAAAAAAATCTACTCACAAAGTAAGGTCCAGCCTAGACATCCCCTCTCCAATTAACGAAAATTCCACTTTTATTCGAATGAAAAACAACGCACAAAATAACATTACAAATAAACAAGTTTGGGAATATCTTCTTGAAAATTACAAACATTTTAAATTGAATATTCCATTCAAAAAATTAAATGTCACTTAAACGTCACGTATCTTTTATTTATTCTTTTGTTCTTCAAAAATTTTTTTATTTATTCACACCTGGGAAATAAACACGATGTGTCAATCAGTACGAAAAAATCATGTTTATATTGGGGCGGTGATTTAAAAATAAACCAATCAGAGAGAAAACCGAAACGAAATTCCCCTAACCACGTGAATCTTTTTTTAGGATAGGCCATCTGTCCAATCAAATGCCCCTTTGAAAAGTTTATTGAAGTGCATATTCCCACGGTTTATGCAATTAGACTACTTTTTTTTCTTTTCGATCGAACGTACTAAAACTTCTATTTATTACTTTTATTTATTATTATTTTGTTAAAATAAACGCAAACTAAAAAACTATATTTTTTAAAATAGGATTATATAGCTTACAAACATAAATCTTATATTGTTGTCCTCTATGTTATTACCTATTTTTTCATAGTGAACCTATTTCTTTTATATGTTTACATATTTGATTTGCCTCATGTTTTTGTACATTATACAAACTGAGTGTTATTGTAAATAAAATTGAAAAAAAAAAAAAAAAAAATTGGGTCTATTTCGCTGAAATTATGATTAAACAAATGTCTGATAATCATTATCAATCTTATATCTTAGCGTAGGTTATACCGAAATACCGTATCCGCTCATGGGTTCTTACTTTTATGTTGGAGGATCTTATCCAAAGTTTGACTGAAAATACCGAGAAGATGTGATTGACAGAACAGGCTTTAGGGTGCTCTGACCCCAAAGGGGCGGTGTTACAGAGCTCCATGATGAATATTTTGAAAGACCTTACAAGTATGACTTATTTATAAAAACGCACAGCAGTTGCAAATAATCAAGATACATGTTTAACTATATACTCGGGAGAACGTGTGCATCATGTTTATATCTAGTGATGCAGAATGCAAAGATAATACATGAATAGTGGGAAAAGTCTGTAGGGTTTATTATTATTATTATTATAAGCATAACATTAAAGGAACTCGACTGAATTTAATAAGCCTAAAACATAAAATTTTAATTTTTTTCGCATAGATCAACATGAGTACTTAAAACAGAAATATAAATAAAATATAACTAAGAAATATACAGGAAATCCATTGAAAATCATATGTTTGCGCTATTCTCTGTCCGATTCGAGTGAAAGGCGTTTAAACACTTTTCAATTTTGCGTCATTTTCACTATTAATAATAATTATTATGGAAAAAAACGGAGCGAGTTAATGATCTGAAATTTTACACATAAATTATTAGTATAGAGCAACATCAAATAGAGTAATAATCTCAAAAAATATTTCCAGTCCCAACATTCAAAAACTTCAGTGGAGTCCCGCAATTATTAATGTTGTTTGTTGTTGTTTTTGTTATATTATTATTATTTATTATTATTATTATTATTATTATATTATTATTATTATAAAATTATTTATTATTATTATTATTATTATTTATTATTATTATTATTATTATTATTATTATTATTAGATCTATTATTATTATTATCATTATTTTTTATCATTATTATTATTATTATCATCATCATTTATTTTATTATTATTATTTTATTAAATTATTATTATTATTTTACTAAATTATTAATTACTATATTATTAATATTTATAATTATGCATGTCATTTTTTTGAAAAGTGTGTGTTTGTTTGTTTGGGTTTTACGCCACACCGACACAGTAAAGGCCATTATAGCGTCGTTCCAGCTTCACTGGTGGAGGAAGACCTCGGGTGCCTTTCCGTGCATTATTTCAGGAACGAACGGGTACATGAGTAGAACCACCGACGTTCCGTGTAAAGTAATAGGATATTTATATTTTAAAATCATAAAGCATGACATGTACATACCCGCTGGTCAAACGTCTTTAGATATCATTAAAGCATTAGTTATAATGCTTGAAGTAATCGGTTTGGCCCGGGTTTTAACGTCTTAAATATGTATTTAGATTATTGTTTGTATAACAATACAATGTGAAACAGGTAAAATCTCGTGTTGTGTACAACCTAATCTAACCACATGTGTGTGATAAAAAGTCAGTGTGGAAAATATACATGACTTTATATGACTATTTATTTATTCGGTATGCAATTTTGTATGCTAGTTTGCCACAAATGAATATTTAATTGTTGCTGGACGTGTAATTGGCTGTAAAAATATCAAAACTGTAAGTTGATTTTTTTTTCATACAAATTTTAATCTACAGGCTGTTAAACTGTTAGATATAACTTAAATAATGAAAAACTATAATCTTCTGCTGATAAATATTTAGATACAGGTACTTGTAATATAGCAAATGTTATCTTACCGATTTAAATACAACTTATATTACTTTATCCGTGGTCATCATCACTGATCATTTAGTCTACGATGCTTTATTTTCTCTATAATTTATATTTTGTTTCTCATTTTTATCTTTTTATGAAGGAGAGCGTCATTTATTGTAGGGGTACAAAGCAAATCAAAATCAAATCAAAATTTAATTATTGCCAAATTATTAACAAATAAAACAATTCACAAAACATAAACTAAATGTGTAGCATTTCACCGACAATTTCTAGACAAATGATCACGGACATTTAGTCTAACGTTCGGTAATTTCTGGTATATTATCCATGCAGGAAGGCCGGTTATGTAGACAGACCGCCGATAAATGACCAAAACTGTGCTGAAATCTTCGTACAGAACACGCAAATAATCAAATTAGAACACACACACGCACGCACGGACACACGCACACACGAACGCTCACATATGTACGATTTTAATTAACTCAAGTTTCCATATACTTTCACTTCAAATAAGAAAGGAGATTTTCACTTTGTGACTAGTACAATACTTGTAACTCAATCATTTGGTAGCAATCTCACCTACTTGTGTATCTGTATATAGTATTGAAGAAGTGACGTGATTATCTGGGGTTCAAATCCAGGTCAGTGCCACGGGAATTTTTCAGGTTAACGATAGAATTGATCGTTCTGAATACTTCTACTCTATCACTTTAACATGTTGGTCGAGGGGTTAGAGTCGATGACTTCTAATCCAGTTACCTCTCTGGCGTGGGTTCGATCCCCGGGAGATGCTTTGGTAGTTTAGCGCGGAGGAAGGTTGTCTAGTAATGGTGTAACTCTCCACGAACGATGGTTAGGAAACTACCCGCCATACTGTTGGAAAAAGGCGTAAAATAAAACAAACAAACATGTTATGTTGCCATAGTTTTGTTGTTTCCTAACCTTTTCTATATTCTGATAGTAAAATAATGCAAAGATAATCTTGTTAATGTTTGTATTTCTTTTAAAATAGTGATTTTCAATAATTGCGGGTGTCACGTTTATCCGTTTAAACGATACGGTTAGTTTTTAGCTGAAAAATCGGTTAGAAAATTCAATAACCGATAACCGAGATTAGTTTTTGACAAAGAGGCGAAAAAGTTTTAAATTGATTTTAAATATTACCTTCAAGTTGGTATTTTATAACAAGATAAGACGATTCGTTTGTATTTTAGTTTTACTCAACAATGTATTTTTCCGACGGAAAATATTTACTACATGTACTGTAAATATCGGATATGTATTACTTTGAGTACAACAAAATAAGAACAAAATTTCATATTTTGTCATAAAGAAACAAAGTTAATGTAAAAAATCTAAGGATTTTAATAGAACGGTCGTTTAAACGTTTAACACGGTTATTAGGCTAACTGTTATATCCCTAATTTATGTGAATGGATTATCAAGGAGAGTTGTTATAATTATTTCCATTTTCTCTAAATGTAATATCACAACAGGATATTAAAGTTCAGTTAATTGTGCCGGATTATCAAGCAAGTATATTAGAGCTACAATTATTAATGACGTAGTAACAGGGGCATGTAATGCAGACTAATAGAGTCTATTTAATTATCTCCCTTAAATGTGACAGCCACAAGAGTCCTTCATTTTCTAAATAAAAAAATGGATTATCATGGCGGGATACTAGGGTTTAGTTAGTATTCTCACTAAAGATTATTAGAGGTAGATTGTTCATTGAAACCCACGCATATTTGCATTGCAATTCCTTTGACGGGTCAGATGCTTCTATGTTATATATCAAAGCTAATATATTTATTTTTTTGAGCTCACCTGAGCTTGCTCAGGGTGAGCTTTTAGGATCGTTGAATGTCCGTCGTCCGTCGTTTGTCGTCCGTCAACACTTGTTCGTTAACACTCTAGCGGTCAAATTTTGCCTCAATCATAATCAAACTTGGTTAGGATGCTTGTCTAGGTGATAGCTTGCATGAATTCCAACATGGGTCATCTCGGATGAAAAATAAGGTCACAGGAGCTAATAATAGAAAAACCTTGTTAACACTCTAGTGGTCACATTTTTGCCTGAATCATCATCAAACTTGGTCAGGATGCTTGTCTAGGTGATAAAGCTCCGATGAGTTCGAACATGGGTCATCTCGGATAAAAAAACTAGGTCACAGGAGCTAAAAATCGAAAAAACCTTGTTAACACTTTAGCGGTTACATTTTTGCCTCAATCATCATCAAACTTTGTCAGGATGCTTGTCTAGGTTGAAACTTCGATGAGTTCTAACATGGGTCATCTCTGATGAAAAACAATGTCACAGGAGCTAAAACTAGAAAAATCCTGTTAACACTCTAGTGGTCACATTTTTGACTCGATTGTCATCAAACTTGGTCAGGATGCTTGTCAAGTTAATTGCTCGAATAAGTTCGAACATGGGTTATCTCGATTGAAAAACTAGGTCACAGGAGCTAGAAATAGAAAAACCTTGTTAACACTCTAGCGGTCACATTTTTGACTCAAGTGTCATCAAACTTGGTCAGGATGCTTGTATAGGTAATTACACAGATGAGTTCGAACATGGGTCATCTCTGATGAAAAACTAGGTCACAGTGGCAAAAATAGAAAAATCTTGTTAACACTCTAGTGGTCACATTTTTGACTAAATTGTCATTAAACTTGGTCAAGATGCTTTTCTAGGTAATTCCTCGGATAAGTTCGAACATGAGTATTCTCGAATGAAATACTAGGTCACAGGAGCTAAAAGTAGAAAAATCTTGTTAACACTCTCGTGGTTACTGTTTTGATCCAAATATCCTATAAATTTGTCTGAAAGTTTGTTTTGATGATTTCTAGGTCAAGTTCGAATATAGGTTACCTGGAATCAAAAACTAGGTCACACTGCCCAAATATAGAAAAACCCTGTTAACATTCTAGTGGTCACATTGTTGACTCAATTATCATCAAACTTGGTCAGGATGCTTGTCTAGGTAATTGCTCGGATTAGTTCGAACATGGGTTATCTCGCATGAAAAACTAGGTCACCGGAGCTAAAAATAGTTAAATCTTGTTAACACTCTAGTGGCTACTGTTTTGATCCAAGTATCCTGGAAATTGGTCTGAAACTTTGTTTTGATGATTTCTAGGTCAAGTTCGAATATGGGTCACCTGGGTAAAGAACTAGGTCACACTGCTCAAATATGGAAAATCTTGTTAACACTCTAGCGGTCACATTTTTGACTCACCTGTCACGAAACTTGGTCAGAATGCTTGTGTAGGTAATTGTTCGGATGCGTTCGATGGGTCTAGTGAGCGATCTAGGTCCATCATGGCCCTCTTGTTATATTTGAATTAGATTCTGCTTTTGTACTGACCTATAGTAAATGATTCTAAAATAATAACTTGCAGAGATTATGTTAAGGATAAGATTTATAGATGTCGCATATTTTTTTCTGTTAATCTTTGATAGTTTTATTCTAACTTCTTTTCTTGTTTGTTTCAGGATGTACTGTAAATACGGGATGTTAGTAAAGTAATGCACATGCAGCGTCGAAGATCACCAAGTAACTAGATCAAGCAATATAAAACCAGATAGGATTGCGCACATATAATGTGTTGTATGAGCATAAAATAAACTACTAGGAAGCCTGTCTGCAAATACAATAACCAGGAGTGTAAAATGTGAATTCTTCGCCTATAAGATAGGGCATTTCAACCTGAAATACAATGTATACTGTATAATACAATGTTTATTTAAGTGTGTATAAAATAGAACAAGGGTACATAACTGCACCAGCACAACGTTTACATGTTGAAAAAAGTATTGCTTCAAACTGTTAAAATGACAAAAAGAAAATGTGTATCATACATTAAAACGTGTCTTGCCATAAAGAATACGCAACGGAAATACATTTTGTTAGCACTGCCACTGTTATTTTTACCATCAGTAATGTTCTTATATAACTCAAGTTTTCAAATACCATTGATCACCCGTGGACAGCCATGTAAGCTTCATGAATTAAACCCATGGGATAAATCACTTAGCCAATATCTTCAAACCTCTCCACCTATTGAATGTGCACCAACGAAATTTTCATTACTTTACGTCGACGAAAATGGTATTTTAAAATATAATAAATCCGCCATTTTGCAATATTCGCTGACGTCATTGAAATGTGTGTACATGCTTATTCATCGTGTTGATGGCGATCATGATATTCAACTGGAGGACGAGATACCTTTTGAGCCTCCAATTTTTATCAACAACCCAGTATTCCGTGTTTTATGCCGAAATACACCGAATGAAACAGTGTACGATTTTGTTCATTTTAATGTAATGACTAACGACTCCAAAACCAGGCAGCAGAAAATCGGCTATGAGTCGGATGATAAATTTAGTGTTCTGTTCTTCGGATTAGACTCCGCCTCAAGATCACATGCATTGAGAAAACTGCCAAAATCGTATAAATATCTAACCGAAACGTTAGGTGCTTTTGATTTCCGTGGTTATATGAAAGTTGGACTAAATTCATTTCCAAACATGATACCTTTATTAACTGGTAAGGAAGATTATAAATACCGTATGGAAATATTTCTGAATACTTTCTTGGACAACTGGCCATTCATCTGGAACGAAAAACCGATAGAAAAATACGTGACTTTATATTCGGAAGATCGACCTGACATATCTTTAATGAATTTCATGCATCCGGGCTTCAAGAAGTCACCTACAGATTATTATTACAGGCCGTATGCTTTGGCAATGAATGCAGTCAACCCGGTGGTAATGGAACCTCTTGGAAATTCAACCTGGTGGTGTTACGGAAATAAAGACCATTATTTGCTACAAATTGACTTTCTTAAAAGATTTGTTACTAAATATACAAAAAGATTAAAATTTTCGTTTTTATGGAACAATCAAATAGGTCATGAAGATTTTATTTCCTTAGGCCGTGCCGACCAACCTTTATACGAGTTTTTACAGTGGATGAAATCAAATGGTCATCTTGAAAGGTCAATTCTAATCGTAGGAAGTGACCATGGGTTTAGGTTAGGTGGAGCTAGTGCAACATACATTGGCAGAATAGAAAACAACATGCCATTTCTTACGGTGTATATTCCTGAAGTATTAAAGCTAAAATATCCATGGCTACAGAAAAACTTACAATATAACACGGACAAACTTATTTCTGCTTTTGACATACACCAAACTGTCGTAGATACAATATATGGTAGATTCTCTGAAAAGAATTCGGAAGCTGTTTACAGATCACGAACAAGTCGAAGTTTATTTTCTAAAATTCCAAAAGGTCGTACATGCAAAGATGCTGGCGTACCTCCTCAGTTTTGTACATGCTATGATTCTACTGCGGTCAGTCTTTCTAATCCGTTAACTATCAAGTTAGCACAGTTTGCTGTTCAACATTTAAACATAATGTTACATGATCACCAAGATATTTGTCGAGAATTAACACTGCTTAACATAACAGACGCCAAGGTCATGTATACAACCGAAGGTGATATTGACAAAGATCATATAGAAAGGGAACCAGGCTTCTTTAAACGGTTGAAAGGTTACACAGAAACTGATTATAGCGGGCGATATGTTCTTATGTTGTACACAAATCCTAGTAAAGGTCTTATTGAAGTCATGATAGATTATGAGAAGCATTCCGCCGACGGCGTTGACAATAAAATGACCGTGATAGGGGAACCAGTTAGGGTCAATAGATATGGGAACCAGTCACATTGTTTAGCTGATACAGTTTTGAGACAGTATTGTCTGTGTAAAGATATCGATATATTGGATAATTAAGTCATTAAAGTATGTGTTTAAAGTGCTATAATCATAATGCATTGAGATACAACGAAAAATTTCAGCGAATTAATAGGAAGAGACACCCATCGTCAAAAACAATGATCATTCTGAATTGTGTTGTAAATTCTGCTTATATAATTATAAATGAATAGTAGAAAGAATTCTATACAATGATACATGTAACAGCTATAGATTTTCCTTACATTAAAGACAGTGGTTGGTTTTGATACGGCTAAAAATATAGTAAATGAAGTTAAATGGGCCTTTAAATTTGTTAATTACAAAACGATTTTTGTGAATAATTTTCTACCTAGTTTTAAGATGTATAATTATGTGTAGTTGAACCTCCTTCACGAGATGTTAAAGTGAATTTGAAACTTTGATTCCAAGCAAAACAATTATATAAACGGTGAATAGGTATGTTTGTACACGTATGGTCTTATTACCTCACCCATTTGTTTCTTCCTGCCAATCATGACTTGACATTAAAGCAATAAAAATGATAATTTACAAAATGTGTTTGCCTTTTAATCTTATTTAACCTATATTTAATCGAGGTTTGGGTGCCCTCGAGATTCTGATATAGAGGAAAAGTCTTCGATTGTATATCGAGTTGGGATGTGAAGCTGGCTAGTCAATCAACACGACATTCAGCACGACATTCGTTTGTTTGTAGTTGTTGTTTTTTATGGTTTGTTTTCAGCTTCAAAGCCTAGTTCAACATAAAAGAGACACAAATAAGAAAGAAAATAACAGTTCGACATTAAATACAAAAAAGAACAAAAGTCGAGCTGAAAATTGTGCTCAATGTCTTGTCAGTTTACATCCCACGAGGACAAAATAGACAAAAAATACCTATGTCGAGCCGAATCTTGTGCAGAATGTCTAGCCAGCTTCACATACCAGCTCGACATTCAAAAAGAGACCAAGAAAAACCCGAATGTCGAGCTTAATTTGTGATGAATGTTATACTAACTCGGCATTGATAAATCGAATGTCGACTGTTTAATGTTGATTTTTTTTTCATTTAGCCTTTTTAAAGATAAATACTTTCATTTTGAAGACCAATGTAACTGATTTCGGTGATTCTACATATAAAAATGTAAGCAGCTTCTCTTATACTAATGTTAACTCAATATGATTTATGTATGATTTGTTTCCCTCAGGTGTCTAAATGGACATCTGTTGCTGAAGTCATGCTCACTGCTTGTTTGTCTGTTTCTTGACTTCTATGCTCATTGTTTATTCTCATATGAACATGGTAAAGTGTCGAAGATGTTCATTTTTTCATCTCTCACGTGTTGTACATGCTAATGATAATTCATCTTATGAATAATATTGTTGAATATATAGAGTAGTTTGCATTCAGATTTCGAGAGAACGCTGTAATTTGAGTTCGTTTTGTAACATTTATCTCCATACGTATTGCATGTTTTGGACACACCAGATATCACGACGGAAAGATTTCTACACAAATTTTACATGAAAATCCGATAAAAAAATATATAAAGGAAAGTCAGGATGTTAAAAATAAATCTCAATGTTTTTTTTTCAAAAACGCTTTGAATTTCATGAAACTTGAATACTTTAGTCCACATCTGAATCAGCGAAAATTCGCATATATTTTTACCGAGACTAAATAAGATTAATACTAGTATTACTTATTCTGTTGAACTCGAATACAAGTGTAAAACTTTGTACTCGTCAATATCATTATACTATATGAGTTAAAGGCATCAAAAGTGTTGTTTAATAAGTAACTGATTGTAATTAGAAATAATAAAAAAAATGTTACTTTAGTTCAGAACATGCTATAAATAACATAATAAAAGACACTCTTGTATTTGTATCCCAAGTCTTAAAATCATTCAGGTAAATAACTAAACCCCGTTTTGCTGATATAGGAAATAGTAATAAAAACGTAACATTAATGTATCAGACCGGAAGTTCACGTTCATGTATCCTCAATTTAAACTATCAATATAATCATTGATTAAGTATAAACATACAAAAGCACTAACATTACTTTCGCTAATAAAGAGAAGAAAAAAAATCTCATTCTATAAAATCTCTTTTAGTTGTCTCAAAGTCGGTAAAATGAGATGAAAGTCTATCAAGCGTAACTAGAGATGTAACAATAAGCTTAAAAACAAATTCAAAAGGCAGCAGACAAACACGATGATAATCAATGAGTTAATCTCTCTATTCTTGTATTCAATTAATGCATTTCATCAATTTATTGAAAGAAAAAAAAAAGCAACGGATAAAAAAAGTTTTTATCCACATTGCAGAAAATTGCTGACTGGGCACTATCAGTTATAAAAATGATATCAAATATTTATGCTGTCACTTGACAAAACTTCTAAATTAACAATCATATTACTTCATCAAATCATATAGAAATTTTAAAATAGCTCAATACTATACAAATTAAAACAAAAAAGGAGAAACACGTGATAAGTAAATATTGTTCTGCTGATGCAAATCAGAACAGCACAACTTCTTGTTAAAACAGCTATTTAAGTTGAATAAAGAATTGATTGTTTTGTTCCCGTGATAAAGTCGAGTTATAACTGAAATCTTCCTCGTCTTGTTACAGTTTCTTGACTTATTATAGAGAGATTAATTACCAGACACACGAACAATGTGTGTTAAACATATAATTATACATAGACATATACTAAGACTACATAAGTTTAAGACTACGATTTTATGAAGTAATTACAATGTCAAAACAAAAGTAAAAATTAAAAGAGAAACTGCAAAACTTTATATTCTAGCTTGTTCGTATGCAAACATGTTGAACAATATGCAATAATCAGAAATGTAGAAATTTCACTATATGGAACTGATAGTCACGCCAAATAAACGCCAAAAAATCAAATGTACGCTTTTTTAGCTCACCTGAGCTTGCTCAGGGTGAGCTTTTAGGATCGATGAATGTCCGTCGTCCGTCGTCCGTCGTCCGTCCGGCCGTCCACAATTGCTTGTGAACACTCTAGCGGTCACATTTTTGCCTCAATCATCATCAAACTTGGTCAGGATGCTTATCTAGTTGAAAGCTCGGATGAGTTCGAACATGGGTCATCTCAGATGAAAAACTAGGTCACAAGAGCTAAAAATAGAAAAACCTTGTGAACACTCTAGAGGTCACATTTTTGACCCAATCTTCATCAAACTTGGTCAGGATGTTTGTCTAGGTGATAGCTCGGATGAGTTCGAACATGGGTCATCTCGGATGAAAAAGTAGGTCACAGGAGCTATAAATAGAAAAACCTTGTGAACACTCTAGTGGTCACATTTTTGAACCAATCATCATCAAACTTGGTCAGAATGCTTGTCTAGTCAATTGCTTGGATGAGTTCGAACATGGGTCATCTCTGATGAAAAACTAGGTCACAGGAGCTAAAAATAGAAAAACCTTGTGACCACTCTAGTAGTCACATTTTTGACCCAATCATCATCAAACTTTGTCAGGATGCTTGTTTAGATAATAGCTCGGATGAGTTCGAATATGGGTCATCTCGGATGAAAAACTAGGTCACCGGAGCTATAAATAGAAAAACCTTGTTAACACTCTAGCGGTCACATTTTTGCATCAATCATCATCAAACTTGGTCAGGATGCTTATCTAGTTGATAGCTTGGATGAGTTCGAACATGGGTCATCTCGGATGAAAAAGTAGGTCACCGGAGCTAAAAATAGAAAAACCTTGTTAACACTTTAGCGGTCACAGTTTTGCATCAATCATCATCAAACTTGATCAAGATGCTTGTCTAGGTAATAACTCGGATGAGTTCGAACATGGGTCATCTCGGATGAAAAACTAGGTCACAGGAGCTAAAAATAGAAAAACCTTGTTAACACTCTAGTGGTCACAATTTTGACTCAATTGTCATCAAACTTGGTCAGGAAACTTGTCTAGGTCATTGCTGGGAATAAATCGAACATGGGACATCTCGGATGAAAAACTAGGTCACAGGAGCTAAAAATAGAAAAATCTTGTTAACACTCTAGTGGCTACTGTTGTGATCCAAATATTCTGTTGATTGGTCTGAAAGTTTGTTTTGATGATTTCTAAGTCAAGATCGAACATGGGTCATCTTGGATGAAAAACTAGGTCACACCGCCCAAATATGGAAAAACATTTTCGACTCAATTATCATCAAACTTGGTCAGGATGCTTGTCTAGGTAATTGCTTGGATGAGTTCGAAATCGCATGTGAAACTAGGTCACCGGAGCTAAAAATAGAAAAATCTTGTTAACACTCTAGTTGCTACTGTTTTGATCCAAGTACCCTGGAAATTGGTCTGAAAGTTTGTTTTGATGATTTCTAGGTCAAGTTTGAATATGTGTCACCTGGGTAAAAAACTAGGTCGCACTGCTCAAATATGGATAATCCTTGTTAACACTGTAGTGGTCACATTTTTGACTCACCTGTCATGAGACTTGGTCAGAATGCTTGTCTAGGTAATTGTTTGGATGAGTTTGATAATTCAGGTGAGCGATCTAGGGCCATCATGGCCCTCTTGTTTATAATTAATCCCTGTTCAGGCGAATGAGTACCTTATGTCGAATGGCCATTTTACGAAAGTATGTTTACTCATACAATACGCATTCAGATTTCAACAAATAGTACAGGCATTTGTTATCCGGCAAAATGTACACATATTTTCTTTGTTAATAATGCATAAGAATTTCAATGAAAATATCGATGATTGATTTTAATTTCAGTTGATATACGGTATAAACGTTTCTGCCGTTGACAATTAATTGGTTTGTCTCCCTACCTTTTCTAATTTTTTCATAAGTAACTAGAATGTTTAAGAAACTTATAAACTTCATTTTGAGTAATCCGTTTTATTTATCTAATTGCAAAATAAAACGACATTAAAATATATTTCATGTCTAAACAAACTATTGTGAACAGTACACATTTTCCTTCTTAACAAATGTGCATCAAAAATGTAACTTGTTACCATAAAAGCAATAATTGTCTCAAGACAGGTTTGTATAAATCTCGGTAAA